GACGACAACAACGACGACGACGACACGACGAACACAACGACGACGACGACGACGACGACAGCGATGACGACGACGACGACGACGACGGCGGCGACGACGAGGACGAAGACGACGACGACGACTCACTGCGGATGGGGGATGCCCAACGGGGGGGGGCGCTGCGCAGGTCCGCTGTGCTCGACGACGACGACGACGACGAAAACGACGACGACGACGACAAGGACGACGAAGAAGACGACGACGACGCCTCAGAGGGGGGAACATCGCCCCGGAGATGTACGACCCCTTCAACAACATCCATACAAAAGGCAATCGTTTTAAGGCTGTCATGCAGGGGGTGCACTAATCCCTCGGCGGCGCCAGCGACGACCCACTGGCGCGCGTGATTGATTGAATGTTTCGCGCCCCGCGGGGTCTACTCATCAGCCCCAGGGGGGGTCTTGTCAGTCGCTAATAACCTGACATTGCATATGTCCGTGACGTGGCACCCGGACTTCTGGCAGACCATGGCATACTCTGTTGATTCTGGGATCTCGTCGAAATAAACAAAGTGTAGCGGCGACTTGCAGGAAGCACAGTCGCAGGCGCCTTGTGCTGCTTGGCCAAGCTGCGCTTCGTCGCGTCCGCGATAGGGTACTTGCCAGCCTCCTCGAGGCCCGTGTCCTCGGGCGGGATGTTGTCCGTCCCGAATTGCATTTTCCCCCAATCGTCGCGGTTGAGCTCCGTCTCTGGCTCGTCCACGACGCTGTTCCGTCCTTCTGCGCCTCCTGCCAGCCCTGCGGGAGCGAAGCGATTTCCGTCAGTGGGGCGGCCTCCTTGTCTTCGTTCTCGACGGCGGCCTCCGGTGTTGCTATCGTCCTCGCTGGCAGCGGCGCGGCGGCGGCCCTCATCTCCTCTCGGCCCCGGGCGCCGCGGGCGCCCATTCGGCGCCGCGGCGAAGGCGCTCGCAACTCTTGACCGCTACGTCCGTCGCTTCGCGCCCAGTGAAGTTCTTCCGCAACGCCACCTGCCAGTTCGCTAAATCTGGGATGGCCGCTGCGTCGTCCAGCTCCACAAACTGGTGCTGGGAACCAGAGGCGACGGCACGGCACGTCCTCGCGTAAGTGTCCGTGCAATCTGGCCCCCGCCTGCCCAGGTTGTCGCGCTCGCTCTGCGGGATCGCCATCGCCGGCAAGGCCAATGAGATTGTCGCTCGCTCCGAGTGCTTCGCCAGGAAGCCCGCGACATCCCTGGGGAAGAGGGGCTCTGCGATCTCGCGCGCCAAAGCTGGCGCCAGCATCCTCCGGAGCACTTCCTGGCCCGCCGCCGGCGCCTCGGCGCATCCAGCGGGATCGCGGACCACCTCATGGCCGGCGTCGCTGCGTCGCGACAAGAAGTCCCTCTCTCGAAATCCGCGATCTCCTGCCACGGGGGGAAGCCAGCCTCTATCCGCGACGAGCCCCGCATGTAGCATTCGCGGGATGCCACCAGCGCCATCGTAGCGCCGCGCCGCCCAAACCTTGACGAGGCGAAGCCACGACACCCCGCGCAGGTAGTTCACGAGGCCCTCGTCCGCGACCAGCTGGTACAGGGCCCCGACGAGCGGGTTGGTGCATCGGAACGCCCTCATCGTCGGACTTCGCCATCGCCGAAAAAATATCCGTGTTCGCGGTGACCTGTTGGACCTCTGGCCGGGCGGAGAGACTAGCGCCCGGGTCGAAACCCGCCGCGCGCTCGGACCAGGCCAGGGCGCGGAGGGCCTGGGTGGGCACCGCCGGCCCACAAGGCTCGGAAGCCCGAGCGTGCACGCAGTCGCTACAAGTGCGCGACCGTCTTCGCCCACGGGATGCTGTGCGCGCGCGCAAGAGCCATCGGCGCATCGTCTCGCCCGCGCGCTCGTACGACCTCACTGCGTTGAAGCGCGCGGGGCCCGCGATGCCATGCATCGCCCGCCCCGGGTGCATGCAGGACCGCGCCACCTCCAGCGAAGGCGCCTCCATCCTGCTGAGGAGCTGGGGCGGGCGAGGCCTCCAGAAAAACCGTTGTCGGCCTCCAGCTCGCCGCGCCTCTCCTCGGCGGCGGCGCGGCACTTCCGCGCGCCGCGGGGCCCCGACAGCGCGCGGGCCCCCGGCGGCGGAACGGCCTCGCGCCACGCCCGATCGCACACGGGCAAAAGGCGCCCTCCACGGCGTCCTCCAGCATGGCCGGCCCGCGGGGTACGTGGAGCGCCCGCATTGGCTCCTGCAGCGGCTCCTCGTCCACTGCCCGGTCGTCGGCCTCCCTCCGCGGAGCCCGGGGCCTCCTGCCTCCACACCTAGGGGGGCAACGATAGGGGGGGATGGGCACAGGGGGGGATGCATCGACCTAGAATCGGCGACACATCGTCGACAGATCGGCGATAGGCCTCCGATAGTGAATCCGCACCTTCCTGGGCAGGCTGGGGCCATCGGGCCCCTATCGGCGATCATTGGGCGACTGGGGGTCGATGCATCCCCCCCATGCCTATTCCCCCCCTATCGCTGCCCCTGAACACCGGGGCCACCTGTCCGAGCGTCTCCTCGAACTTCGAGCTCGCTCGCCGGCAGCGCCAGGCGCGAGCCGAGGCGTCCACGGCCATGCGGCGCCCTGCCGACCCGCCGCCGCGCGGCGCCGGGGGGCGCACGGCCCACGGGCGAGCATCGGCGCTCACCCGTTGCTCAAAATCGGCCGAGCGCCTGAGCCCGAACGGCAGCAGACGTCGGGCAGCAGAGGGGGATACACCTCCGTGCTGGTACACGGGGGCATGTGTAAGATCAGCGACAGGGCAGAGGAGTGCGTCAACTGCACATCCCCAGCCCAGCCTGAGTCGTGCGGGGGGAGGGAGGTGGGTGCTAGTCCCACATGGTGGTCTAGAGACTTCATTATTTCCTCTTACAACAGCCTCATCAGTTCTGGGAAGTTTCCCCCTCATTTGTTTTGTGGGGGGATCGCTACGAGCGCCCAGGATTGCTCCAAGAGGGCCTCCGATGCTCCAAGATGGCCTCCAAGATGGTCCAAGATAGCCGACGATGGATCCCCTTAGCTTCTGACATAGCTCCAAGAAGCCCGACGAGGGCCCCAAGACGGCTCCAAGTGCTCTCAGAATCCTCTGGAGGAACCTCCCCATAAGGCCAACATCTTTCAAAAGCCCAAGGCAAATCACTGGCGAGCGTTTTCTCATTCCGCGTTTCGACATTGGGCGGAAAGGGGGGGAGGGCGGGGGGTCTAGCTCCGGACCTCTGCTTAGTGCGACTGCTTGCAAACAGTGCGTCCTGTGGGGGAGACGCCACCTGCTCGAAACAGGCGCCCCAAACAGCCAAGATCTACTCCACGGGGGAGGGGGGATGAGGGCGGGGGTGCGAGGGCCCGCGCCGATCGGCACAGCAATGCAAAGACAACGACGACCTGATGAGCGTGCGATGCGACGCCTCGCGATGGCCACAAACCGGCCCGCGAGAGGCCAGGAGGCGCCCGGGAGGCTCCCCGGGCGGCCCCAGGAGCGTCCAAGAGCGGCACAAGAGCGGCCCCAAGAGGCCCCCCCCAAAAGGTGCTGTTGTGTTGGTCCCATGGGGTCGGGTTTGTGGGGCCGATTGCCGCCCCGCCCCCCCCCCTCTTGATCGATGGCTTCCAAGATCCAAGATGGCCTCCAGAGGCCCTCCAGGGCTCAAGAAGGCCCAGGATCCCCCAAAGAGTCCCAAGGGGGCGCCAAGAGGCGGTATGCTGAGAGTTCTGTCCTCGTCCTCGTTGTCATTCACCCTCTCCTCCTTGTCCTCGTCCTTGCCCTCATCGTCGTTATGTTCCTTGTGCTCCTCCTCCTCGTCGTCGTGGTCGTCGTGGTCGTGGTCGTCGTCGTCGTCTTCCTCCTCCTCATCCTCCTTCCCTCGCCCCCCACGCGGGCCCCAGGGATGGCCCGAAGATGCCCTTCAATGCCAGCACCTTGCTCCAAGAGATCTCTGCGTTCACCCTGGTTGACCACTCTGTTTCACTATATGTATATCTTCGTCCCTTCTACCCGCCAGCTCTCATGGGCAGAATTAATGATGGGCCGGTGGGGGTACGGGAAATGTAAAACAATTCCTTGCTCGGAATGGGCATATACGTTGTGCAGCCTAGGTGATGCCAACTATGTGGGGCAGTCGATGTTGAGCCATCTACGTTGCGCAATCTATGTTGTGCAGCCCGTGTTGTGCAACCTACATGGTGCAGTTGACGTGGTCCCAATCTGAGTGCTGCAATATGTGCTGCAGCATAAGTGTGCAATGTTGCGCAATAGTGTGCAATCTACGCTGTGCAATATCGGTGCTGCACTATGTTTGGTGCAACATATAAACGCCCCGATGTGTGTTGTGCAACCAATGCTGCGCAGTGTCTGTGGCGTGCGGCGACGGGGCGGCGACGGCGAGCACATGGCCGCCAAACCGCCAGCCAGGCCCAGACGACGGGCGGCGACGAGGCGGCGACGGCGAGCATGGAGCCGCCAGGCCGACGTTCGGACCCAGGCGGCGAGCGGCGACGGGGCACGGGACGGCGACGGCGAGCACGGCGCCGCCAGACCGCCGCTCGGGGCCAGCCTCTTCAGAAGAGGGGCAAGAGCCCGTCATTGCAACCAGGAGGAGGAGGAGGAGGAGGAGGAGGAGGAGGAGGAGGGAGGAGGAGGAGCAGGAGGAGGAGAGGACGCAGGAGGAGGGGCGAGGAGGAGGAGGAGGGAGGAGGAGGTAGGAGGATGAGGGAGAGGGTAGTAGGAGGAGGAGGAGGAGGGAGGGAGGAGGGAGGGAGGAGAAGGAGGGGAGGGGAGAGGGGGGGAGGAGGGGGGGGGGAGGAGAAGAGGAGGAGGGGGATAAGAAGGAGGAGGACAGTTTGGGGAATATGGATGCAGCTGCTTGCGTTGACCTCCGTCCGAAGAGGCCGCCAAAAGGCCGCCGCGGGCCGCCGGGAGCCGCCGAAGGCCGCCAGAGAGGGCCGCCGAAGACCGCCGAGGGCCGCCGGATGCCACGGAGGGGCGCCTCCGAGCGGAGCGCCTCCGCGGAAGACAGGTTGTCCGTCGTGGCGCGGGCGGCGCCGTCGCCTGGCTCGTCCGCCTCCTCCTCCTCATCCTACTCCTCCTCCTCCTCCTCCCTCCTCACCTCCTCCGCCTCCTCCTCCTCCCTCTCCTCCTCCTCCTCCTCCTCCCCTCCTCCTCCTCCTCCTCCTCCTCTCCCCTCTCCTCCTCCTCCTCCTCCTCCCTCCTCCTCCTCTCCTCCTCCTCCTCTCCTCCTCCTCCTCCTCCTCCTCCTCCTCCTCCTCCTCCTCCTCCTCGTCATCCTCCTCCCCATCCTACCTCCTCTCCTCCTCTCCTCCTCCTCCCTCCTCCCCTCCTCCTCCTCTCCTCCTCCTCTTCCTCCTCCTCCTCCTCCTCCTCCTCCTCCTCCCTCCTCCTCCTCCTCCTCCTCCTCCCTCCTCCTCCTCCTCCTCCTCCTCCTCCTCCTCCTCCTCCTCCTCCTCCTCCTCCTCCTCCTCCTCCTCCTCCTCCTCCTCCTCCTATCCTCCTCCTCCTCCTCCTCCTCCTCGCTCCCCCCCCCCTCCCCCCTCCTCCTCCTCCTCCTCCCTCCTCCTCCGCCGTCACCGCCGCCGCCGCCGCCGCTGGGCGTTCTCGCCCCAGTGTCGGGCCCCAGGACCACCACATATCGATGCGGCTCGAAGCATGCAGCAGAGGATGGGGCTGGGGCTCTGGTCAGGACTGCTTGCGATGTTGGAACTTTTGTTTTTGTGTCCAACGTCGGATCTCAGGGTCCTGTTCGTCCTCGGCCTGTCCCTTCTCCGCCCACGGCGCCCCCTCGTCGTCCTCCTCCGTGGCCTCCTCGACCTGCTACTGATTCTCGACCACCTCCGCCTTCTCCTCGACCTTCTCCTTCTCATGTTCCTCATCTTCCTCCTCCTCCTCCTCCTTCTCCTCCTCCTCTTCCTCCTCTTCCTCCTCCTCCCCCTCATCGGGTGGCACGAACAAAAAAGAACGGGAGGGCGAGGGAGAGCGGAAGGGAGGGGTGCCCCCCCCCCCCCCGTCCCCTGGGTTCCTGGACCCCTGTCGGGGTCCGTCCTCGCCAGGCTTGAACCATGGACCGACTTTGACGATCCTGGGGCCCGAAGCGGGTCTCCAGAGGCCGAGCATGTCACAATCACACCTGCTCGAGCCCGCCACCCCAACCTTCCCCGAGAATGCCCGGCGGCCTGCGACGAGCCTCCTCCTCCTGCTCCAAGAGCTCCTCCTCCCGCTCATATCCTCCTCCTCCTCCTACTCCTACTCCTCCTTCTCCTCCTCCTGCATCATCAACATCGTTCCCATCACCAGCAGCACCACCATCAACATCCTCATCCTCCTCATCATCATCATCAGCATCTCAATCATCATCATGATCGATATCAACACAGCCACCGTCATAATCAACATAGTAAGCATCAGCATCACAGTCACCTCCACATTCAGCTGCATCAGCAGATCCTCTGTGCTACTCATCATCGTCAGCGTACACATCAGCATGTTCATCATCATCATCATCACCATCATCATCATCATCATCATCATCATCATCATCATCATCATCATCAGCATCATCATCATCATAATTGCCACCATCGCCATCATTCTCATCATCATGATCATCATAAATATCGTCGCCGTTAACATCATCATGATCAATATCCCCATTATCATCTTCATCATCACAACCACAATCACCATCATCAACACCATCATCATCAACATCATCATGACCACCGTTGTCCAACATCACCATCGTCAGCAACATCATCATCGTCAGCATCATCAACATCATCATCATCATCATCATCATCACAATCATCATCACAATCAACAACCTCATCATCATCATCATCATCATCATCATCATCATCATCATCACCATCATCATCATCATCATCTGGCCATCATCACCATCGTCATCACGATCACCAACACCATCACCATCACCATCACCATCGCCATCGCCATCATCACCACCAACGGCATCATCAAGATCAACATCAATAGCATCATCATCCTCCTCATCATCATCATCATCCTCGGCCTGTTCTCTGTTTTCTCTGATGGTCGGCACAACAAACCGGCACGCCGCAAGAGTAAGGTTAAGGAGGAGGACGAAGTGAGAGAGGGCACACCTTCTGAGGAAGTGGCGGGGATTCCCATCAACGTCTGTAAACCCGAAATAGGGGGCCACATGCGAAACCTACCCCTACCCCCCACGATTTCGGAGGGGGAGGTTCACTTCGCTCGGGAGCTCCGGAAAGAAGAGAACCCCACCCTCCCCCTCAGAAATCGTGGGGGGTAGGGGTAGGGTTCGCATGTGCCCCCCCACCTAAATCTCTAAACCCTAAACCCTAAACCCTGTGGTCTCGGAGAACGCTTGGGGAGCTTCTCGGGAAGACGGAGGCCTCCCGAGCCTTCCTGGACGGCCCGCCCCGGCCGCCTTAACCCCCATGGGCGCGCCGCAGGCCAAGCTGTCAATACCATGGCTCCCCCGAGGTCTGGAACTCTTCCCGGGAACCAAGATTTCGTCCCAAGCCGTCGCTCCCTAACAGCGAGAGGCTTCTGCTCGAGCCGCTGTCCCCTTACAGAATTTCACCCCAAGCAGCTGTTTCTCTAGAGGGTTCTGCTCGAGATCAAAAACTTCTCCAAGCAGGATCTCCACAAGGGGGGCCGGGGGAAGGTGTCTCACAGGTCTGGCGGCGCGTGCCATCAGCGCTCACTATGGTGTCCTCGCTCGATGTTGTCCCACAGTGCGACTCGGCATGGTGTTCTGGCTCGTGTTCAGCCCTCGCAAAGCGTGTTCTCATGTGTCCAGGCCACCCGAGGGGGTCTCTCACATGGCGGTCCAGAGCTGAAGCCACCTGTTGTTCCCGAATAGCGTTTCGCTAGAGGTTAGCGCCCACCATGGTGTTATGGTTCGATTAGGTCCAGAATTTCGACTCAAGATTGTGCGTTTGTGTGTTTGTGTGTGTGTGTTTGTGTGTGTATGTTGTATGTGTGTGTGTGTGTGTTTGTGTGTGTGTGTTTCGATCGATTTCGTTGGGAATGCCAATTTCCTGGGGCTCGAGTACCGTGGGTACTACATATGTTCCTATCCATTGCTCGTCTGCTGTGGTTCGGATCCTATGTGTTTCGAATATGTTGCTAAATACTGCCGCTCTCCTGGGGCTCGAAGAGGAAGAAGTGGCAGAATGCAGAGTTTGCGAAACGAGCGCGGCACAGGGATAACCCAAGGCATTGGGCTGACCGCAGCAGGCGACGGACCTCCCCCCCTGGCAGCTGCCATCACCGAGGGGACATACTCGCGCGGGCACCCGCCGCAGGAGCGTGCTCGAGAGGAGCAGCGGCACAGAACCCAAGGCGGAGGATCCCCGCGCCGTGGCTTCTCCTCTCGTGCCCCCCTCCTGCCGGCGCGCTCGCGCCGACGAGCGAGCGCAAGCAAGCAGGCAGGCGAGATGCGCGCCGAATGGCGCGCCACCAGGCTACAGATTGCGTTGCTGGCAACCTGCTGAGGCAACAGGTGCGCGTCAAAAAACGTCATGGAGCGGAGGGGGGAGGAGGGGGAGGACGAGAAAAGACGGCACATGACTCTGACTCAAGAGAGAAGAAGGATGCTGATGAATACAAGTGCGCGAGCGCATGATGCGTAGAACAAACGCCCAGCCGCCTCGTACGGAGCACTGATTCCTAGAAGCCCGTCTGGCGCCCTCGAGACCGCCGCTCCCTACAGCACCATCGCCACGTTGGCGGGACAACTCCTACTGGTGTTGATTGAGCGCGCCTCCCCTTCCTCCCCGTCCTCCTACCGTCCTCCTCCTCCTCCTCCTCCTCCTTCTTCTCGCCACCCCTCCTCTTCCTCTTCCTCTTCCTCCTCCTCCTCCTCCTCTTTTTCCTCCGCCTCCTCCTCCTCCTCCTCCTGCCCCTCCTCCCTCCCCCTCCCTCCTCCTCCTCCCTCCTCCCTCCTCCTCCTCCTCCTCCTCCCTCCTCCTTCTCGCCCCCCCCTATCATCCTTCCGTAGCCGTTTTGGCTCAGGGTGGCCGACGCCCCAGCCCTGCCACGGGCGAGCCCCAGAGGTCTGGACCACCTTGCCTGGGGTCAGGCCAGGCACGTCCTCCTACAAGCGGATATTGAAGGAAAAACGAAACCCAAACATGACTGCGTCGTTTAAAAAAATCAGGACGGCAATTTTTTCGCCGTTTCCGGCCCCTGGAGGACCTCGCCGGGCCCCGGGACCGTCAAACAACGATTCAGGACGAAAACCGGTCCCAGGGAAAGGGTCGGGACTTCCGGGGACGCCGTGCTGACAAAAATCAGGTCGTCGCATGTCTGGGAAGATACTCAAAAAATATCACAACAATGTCAAACATCATCGAACAAATCGTCCCCAGACTATGTCTTGCTTGTTTTTGACATTTCCTCCTGTAGAGGGACAGGCCCGACTTAAGCCTGGGGCCGGTTTTTCGCCCTGAGTCGTTCGTTCACGGTCCCGAGGCCCAGCGAGGGCCCCCGGAGGCCGAAGATGCTCCCCACACCGGCCGCTCCGATGTCTGGGAGCGACGGGTCTCTGGGACGGCCCGGCGGCGAGCCCACGAGGGGGGCCCCCTCGGCAGGGCGGGCCCGCGCGCGACCGACGAGCCGCCTCCGAGCAGGTGGCCGACGGCTCCCGGTGCCAGCCGCACCGGGCCGCTCCTCCGAGCGGGGGGGGGGTCGATGCCCAAGCCCCGCCCGGTGCCGAGCTCCGCTCGCAGTCCGAGCGAGCCTGGCGTCCGTGCTGGTGCCGCCAGCTTGCTGGCGGCCGATGCCCCTTCGCAGGCCAAGTACCCACCACCACTGCCATAGGGCAAACCAGGGGAGAACACGCCTCCTCGCGCTGTGAGAAACTCGCGACGGGAGGTTCGTCGCTGTGTCCAGCCTCCGGAGGCCCTTGCCCGGCCTCGGGGCCGTCAAAGAACGACTCGGGATGAGAAACCGGCCCCGTGGAAGGGGTCCAGACCTCTGGGGGTCGGCGTCATGAAAAGTCACGTTGGGGGTCTGGGTGGAGGTGG